AAATTATTTTTATTACTGAAGCAAAGACTTTTCTGGTATTTAAAATGAGTTCACGATTTTTGTGATTCTCCATTTTTGTTGATTTTATTTTTTTTTCCTATCTGTTATAGCTGTTGGTAATATCAGTCAGAGGGTCGACTATTTATAATTAAAATTATTCAAAATGTTACAGCAAAATCTCATTTAGTGAATTTCTAAAATTTTGTCTTAATGTCATCAATGAGTGAATTTATAATAATATTAAAGAATCTGTCATTGTGTTAAAAAAAGTGATTGGAAATAATCGATTTTTTTTTAATATTAAATCGATTCTTGGTACATTTTTTACAATAAAGACAAGTAATCAACTAAAGTTAATCAGGAATTTTAAAAATTGTACTTGTTGCAATAGAAATAGTACTTGTTTTGCTTTTACTATTAAAAAATATTAAAATTTTATGGCAAATTGTTACAGTACATTTAATCGTATATTCAATTAAAGAATATTTAGAGTTTAATAGACAGAGACTGAGTTTATGAAACATTTTCCCTTCACGTTTCAATCTTAAATTTGACACATTGGTATTTTCAATACTATTGTAGCAACTTAACCTATTTTAAATTGAGTTTTCCTGTATTTTTTTCTTCTATTCTTTTTTTTTTGTTGTCGAAGGTAATTTTAAATCACGAATTTTTAATAACTTTTTAAATTATAATTTGTTTTTTGTTGTTGTTGTTATTTAAACTTGTCACATTTTCCAACTTTTTGAGTTATTTTTATTTTTTGTTTCTCTTCCTTTTGTTCTTCTCTTTTTTTTTGCTCTTTTGTTTTTGTTATTCTATCTATACTGTGTGTAGGGCTAACTAAAACTAATAAAACTGTGAAGGGTAATTTTTGCACGAATACAAAAAATTATTGTTATCGGTTCAATGCATATTTTGTTTTTTTTTTTTTGTTGATCCACTAATGGTCATTTAAGCTACCCATAACATTTTTTTTGTTTGTTTGAATTTGGAAAAATAATTCATTTTCACTTCTAGAAAGGTAAATGTACTTGAAAAAGAAGCAGAGAAGCAAAAAAAAATGTTTTTGATGGTACGCGATCGTTCTTTTATTTTTTTTTCTCTTTCAATTTTATTATTATGACATTTTTATAATAATTGCCTTTATTTTTAAACAAAACAAATTTATTCCAATTATTATTTTGTTATTATTGTTTCTTTATTTTGCAATATTTAAAATTTGAATTTTTTTTTTTTACTTTATGATGAATTTACACTTTCCTTTTGTTACGCAAATAAAAACTCGCATATTTATTGGAGTGGAAAGCAATAATTTTCTAAAAAAAAAAAAAACAAAACAGAAAAAATTGTGCGTTTTATTCATTATGCTTTTCTAAACAAAAATTTTATTTAAGTTTATTTTACCGTTAATAAAAAATTTAGAATTTTTTTAATTAATAGCACAAAAAATACCAATGAAATTTTGAAAATCTTCAAAAATTGAAAATTTATCATAAATTGAAATTTTCAATTTTAAATTACTTTTGAAATCAAAAGAATGAAATTGAATTAAAATTTGATTTTAAATTTTAATTATACAAAAATTTTTAAAAATTGTATAAACATGTGTTTAAACAATTATTTTAAAACGTCATACCGTTTTTCGTGTAAAATTAAAACAAGTCAACATGCATACATCATGTACATACATACATTCGTATATATAATTTAATTTTGGCAAATTGTCCTAAATATTTTCCATTGTTCGAAATGTAAAATATAAAATGAAATACTCAAATACTCAATTAAAGTAACCTCAAACAGACAATTATTAGATCATTAAATTGTTCACATTTGGAAATTTTGACAAATTTATGTCATCATCCCTAATATATGTAACATATATAAGTACTTGAATAGTTTTTATTATTCTACTTATACTATTGAAGTGTAAAATATATATTATAATACTTATAGTTAGAAAATTAAACGAAGCTATTAAAATTGATAATTATATTTAAAATATTTTAGCATTAATTAAGCAGAACAATCGCAAAGATGAAAAATATATAATGAATGATTTAATATTTAAATTTTACAGTACAATTGTAGGAAGAAATTTTTCAAAGCCTTAAACTTTACTAATTTTACTAACGTTAAAATTCTTTGTTAAAAAGTAGTTCAATTTTGGAAATTGTGATACAATTTAATATATAATTATAATTATAATCAAGCGCTTATTTACGAACATTAATATTTTATAATATTTTTATTACTATTTTCAAAAGTACACACGATAAATTAGAAAATAATATTGCACTTGTAATAAAAAAGTAGTATTTGCCATTTCTAATCTTAAGCCGGCCATCGTTAATAAAAAAAAAAAAACAATAATTATTTTTCAATTGATATCGTAATTATCAATACAAGAAAAGAGTACTTGTATTTAAGAGAATTTTATTTGAAATATTTTGTTATTTTATTTTATAGGAACACGTGAGCGAGTTAACGAAGAAATTTCACTAAAAATTAATGTGTCAACTGTCATAACACATGTATTTGTCTCATTATTAATAATGAAAACTCAATATAATACTCAGTTTGGGTTTAAAATAGAGAATATTAAAACTGAATCTTTTATTTTAATTGAGTAGAATTTGAACAGTAGATAATTAAACGTATATTATTAATTATTAATATTTTGAAGTGCATGATTTGATATAAAATTTGACATAAATTGTCACTGTCAAAATAATTTCTTGAACTATTATTCAACAAAATTTATAGCTTATAAATTATTCGAAACGCTGTATGTGAGTGATTATAAAAAAGTGACGTGTCTGTTATAAAAGAATTTTTTAACACAACTTTAAAATCATTGAACTCAAATTTTTAATTTTGTCATGTATTAAAGCAAAATTTTTAATATATTTGTCCATTGTGATACAAAAATAAAAAACAATATAATTAAATATTCATAAAATTTTAAAATTATTGAATTATTCAAAAATTACGCATTGTTGAAGTTTAAAAGCTGAATTTTGAAAATCATTACGTAAGTTTTATAATTTAAAATTGTAAATCAGGAGTTTTGTTTTTTTTTTTCTCATTTGTTAAAATTTCATTCATTATTTTCGTTCTAATATTATGTTTCATATACAAAAATCATTATTTTATTGTTGTATTTATATTTTTATCATATTTAATATTTTTTTTCAAAAATTGGTTGATTACAATTGCTGTTAATCAAAAATCTTATAATAAAATTTGTTTTTTTTTTTATAAAAAGCACACATTATGCAACATATATGAGCAAATTCTATTTTAATGACATTTATACAAGAGTTTATACATACAATAATTTCAAAATGTTCGGTTATGTTATTCAAAAATTGACAGAAAGTTATTTATAGAATGATTTATTTTTTTTGAAATAAGGGCATTGAGTTAATTTTATAATAATATTTACAATTTGACAAGTTATTTGTGGTATTTTACAATTAAATTTTATTCTTAATTAAGAAAAATTCCTCAAAATATATAAGCATGTACATATATAGGACGTTGACATTGAAAGCAAAAAAAATTTGGCATCACATCTCATAAGAAAATTAAAATTTTTCCATATTATAATTTTATTAATGATTTTTAAATGCATTATGAAAATTAATTGTGCTCTTTTTTTGAAATTGAGTAATTTAAGTGCAACGCGTTCTAAATTTAGAAGATTAAATTATATGTTATTTATAAATTGTGTATAGTTTCTTTTAAAATGCAATATTTACAAAATTTTCAAATTTCTAGAAGAGCCTCTTAACATCTAATAATTTTCGAAGCTTTTTTGTCAATTTGTATTCAGAATATTAACAGGTGACTAAAATTCCAAATATCGCAATGTCATAATAAAATTTTCTCTGAGAAATTTTATTCAATATGGCAACTTTCGTTTATATATGAAATTTTAAATTGCATTCTTTTTTATTAATAAGAATATAAAAGAAAGATTTAGTATGTAACAAATAAGGTTTAGCTAGCACATATTCAAATTCTTAGTAAAACATTAATAAGCCCTTGTGAGGAACAGTTTAAATTATTGAATTAAAATTAAGTTGTTAGGTTTGGAAGTGTTCAAGTTGATTAAATAAAATTTTTGTTTTAAATGTTACAATATGGTGTTAAGTTTAAAATTTTTTTACCGTAAATAATTAAAAAAAGAATGTAATAAAATTGTAATTTATAACCATAATTTTTGTTACTTCAAATAATTATATAGAAATTTATTTTCTTTGAAAACATTTCCCGTATACAATGTAATTATAAGTATAAATTGAAAAATCCACCACTGTTTATTTTATTTTGTTGTACAATAATTGAAAAAAAATGTTATTTTCTTTTATTGCTCTTCTGATATTGAAAATTGCAAATATAGACCATAAATAGAAAATTTTCATTGTGGTTTTTACTTTGGATTTGATCCAATTAAAGTTCATTTTTTATTTACAATTTTGCAATTTTTTTTTTCTATTTCATTTCCAATATCCAAAAATAATTTATTTTTTTCAATACAACGGTAATCAGTATATTGACCATAATATAGAAAATGAATAACTGCTATTGAACTATGTAATTAAATTTTAGTAAGTATATACGAGTATCTATTACTCTATGCAAAATGTAAAAGTATAAACTAAAAATTGCATACGGAAATTTTCTACTGTGGTCGAATAATTTATTTTTACCCTTTTTCTCTACTTGCACTTTATATTTTATATTGGAATTTTAAAGTTCAACTGCAATATTGTGGCTACCAAAGCTCTAATCATTATGTTTTTTCCATCAATTCAATTTAGTTCAACTTGTATAATTCAATGAATTTTTACTCTTAAATAAATTTATCAAAATAATTTGGTTACTAAAATGTTGACTTTGTTATTGTAATGAATGTAATCATTTAAAAATACTATTGTGTCATTAAATTAATTTTAATTTATTATTTTTTAATTTTTTTTTTTTTTTAGTTTACAATATACTTTACGGAATTTAGAACCTCGCTCATTAGATTCAATACAACGACCGATACCGCTTAGTACTACAGATTATAAAACATTTTCGACACGTAGTTTATCATCACCACGTGTTCATGCTGTGGAAGATTCATTATTCTTGCATATAGAATCAACATCACCAATTTCATTAGAAGGAACTAATAGAGCTAGTGGTGTTGGTGGTGGCAGTGGTATTTGTACATCTGGCATTAGTAATATTGAGAGTGGAATAAGTAGTGGTGGTATTGGTGGCAGTAATACTTGTGATAACAATTGTACATCTTTAAGTAGTGATAGCGGTTTACAAACTGGTAAAGCATCTGATTTATTATTAGAATCACCAGATCAACAGCAATTAAAAATAAATGAAAAAACATTAAATTTTGATAATATTGGTAACACAGAAATTTCTTCATCTATTTCGGCATTATCAACACAATCAATATTACAAAGTGATAATAGTAGTATGCTACAACAACAACAACAACATAATCTCCAACATAATATAGATATAACACCAGATTCTTCATTATCATATCATTGTAATGATTTAAAAACAATAATGATGGATCAAGGAGCAAATACTAATTTAGATCATAGTGATTCTAATCAAAATATTAGTGTTAAGGCAAAAGCAAGTATGTTTCAACAATTAGGTGAACAAAAATCATTAAAAACTTTCAATGATGATAATCGAACATCACCAATAAATAGAAGAGGTAATATTAAAGTTTATATTTACGATAATTGAATTTGTTTTGAAATAACTAATTTTTTTTATTTTAAATTTTTAGTATCACAAAAATTTGGTTCTCAACCTTCATCTGGACCAGTTTCTTTAAATACTGATCTAAATAATGATTATGGAACTACGAGTATATCACTAACGTCAACTACGGCAACAACAACACAAGATCCAAATGATGAAGATTTTGGTAAGTTTCAATAATAATGTCAAGAAATTTCATCGCATCGTACAAATTGGTTTAATTTACATGCAAACATGATCAAAAACTTTGATATTATCTATTATATTGAAACGAAAACTGTTCTGATTTGATTACCATTCTGGAACTTAATAATATTATAATCAATTCAATGTTTAATGGTCGTGTTCGCATGTTTTTACCATATAAATGCATACATATTTGAAAATATGGAATCTCTTTTGAAAATTATACCAATTACATACTATAAGATTTGTTTAGAATTTAGAATATCAAATAATTTTAATTATAAATTTGAATTAAAATCAATTATTATTATAAACTTTTTGAAATTTTCAATTAAATTGCTATTTACTTAATAATAAATATTCCATATTTTCAATTAATATGTACGTATGCTTACTAGTTATAAGTTTAAAGTGTATTCCATAAAAAAAAAAAATATTATTTATGTGTTTTCCTTCGTGTTATTTCAAATTTTAATATTTCTATTTATAAATTGGAATTTTCATTTAAAATAATATTTTTGCATATATAATTTATGCATGTGTTTTTACATTATATGTTTATTACAAAATTTTTAATAGTTTTTTTTTTTTTTTTTTAAATTCAAAAGAAATAATATTTTATAAATCATTGTAATCATTTTATATAAATTATTAATCAATTAAGATAAATGGAAAATTTAAAAGAAAATAATTTCCTGCTGTGTTTGGTGTGTTTTTAATTTATTGTATATTTTTTTATTTTAATTTTTTAATTGTATTGTATTGCGTAGCTTTTATTCCTATTTATTATAATATTATATATATACATAATATGTTATGCCTAATATTTTAAGCAAGCATGTTCAATTTTAGAAATAGTTAAAAAAACATTTATATTATTTAAATATGAATTTAATAAAAGAAAAAATTTTAATATCGAACACAATTTATAATTAACTTATTTATTATTTGATATAATTACATATTATAATTTAATTTATATTAATTATATTTTTTAAAACAATTTATAATTATTAATTTTATAATTAAAATTTAAATGTATACTAATTACACTTTAGCTAAATAAAATAATTGAAAAGAATTTGATTTAATAACATTTGAAGCATAATTAATTAAGATTTTAGTAAATTAATTAAAAATAAAATATTTTCGGAACTGATAGTCGTCTCGAATGTGTGTCAGTCTAACCAGTGCCATATAAAATTGTTATTATTTTCTATCGTTCAATTATTTAAATTATTTTATTTTGTAAATTTAAATTTTTTTATTTTAAAGACCCTTTCAGCATATTAACAATGTTAATATGAATAATTAAAATGCATTATGTTTGGCATGTAAAATATATACCTAAAATTTAAAAACAAATAAATATGCACTTATATTATTTATGTATATAAATATTTTTCATATATATATTCGTATTTAAATTCTATATAAATTCAAAAATTGGGTTAAAATATGTTCGGAATATATTTGTAAATTTTAAAATTTAAAAGAATAAAATATTTATTTTGCTTGACGAGTTCAATTATAGAAATTTATTTTATTTTTCATTTTCTATTTTAAGAAAAGTGTGTGTATTTTTTAAATGTTTTTTTTTTTTTTCATAAAATAATAAATAACTTTATTATAAAAATTTCAAAATAAATTTTGTTCTGATTATTCTTCATTCAAATAAAATACTAAAATTTTGCATGTGGTATCTTTAAAATATTTCATCTTCTAAAAAAAATTAATTTCATAATTTCTTTAAAATTTAAAAAACAACAATAATATCTTCTTAATTCTTTTATTAAATTTATTATTAATAAATTTTTGCTGTTTTTATGTTATTCAACGTAATATATTGATTTATTGATAACTTAAAAATTAAATATTCAATACTCTTAGCATAAAATTAGATTTAAGAAAATAATAATTTTAAATATTGAATTTAAAAGATTGTAACAATATAGTAATAAGAATCTCATAATTATAATAATATTATGTACATAATATGTAATTTAATATAGGTATTAATTAAATAATTAATTGTTACAAAATAACAAGTTTTACTTTTACAATAAATTTTTTGTTTTTTTGTAAATTACTTTTAAAGTTTGCAATTTTTTATAATTCTTTATCGGTTTTTTGTAAAAAGCTATATCGTAGAAATTTTTCAAAGAAACAATTCTGAAATTTAAAACTTTAGTATATTAAGTTACACTTTGTTATTATAATGGAAAGCTAATGGATACTTATATTACCCAATAAAATGTAAATAAATAATAATAATTTTGTAAAAGAAAATATCTAGATCTTATATATACTTAATAATATTAATTAATAATAGTATTATGTTTACATAATTGAAAACCATCAAACACAAAAATTAATAATAATATTATGTATATCAAATATTAATTGTTAAAATGATAAGTTATTGAAAACTTTTTCGAAGAAAGCTTAGCAGAAGGGATTACAATGGAAAAGTTAAAATTGATATGATACGATTTAAAATAAAGTTTGTAACAAATTTTTGTAGCTTTACAAAAGCGATTGCTTATTCTATTATAAGCACAACTTTTGTTAAATAAAAGTACGTGCAATAATAAAATAAATATAAAATTTCAACAGCAATTAAATGAAATAGGAATTTCAAAATATTCTCGCTTATCAGTTTTTAAGTTCGCAATATTTTCATTATTTATGATCGTTTTTTACTATATCTAAAGAATATAGCATAAACATTTTAAGTTAATTAAACTATTTTTATCAGAAACCCGTGTTATTTAATAGTTTTTTTATTTATAGATTGAATTCTTTAAAATTTTTAAAGATTATTCCTGATTGAAAGAGCTTTATTTAAATCGTAATCATATTGATTCTAATGCTATAATAATAATAGAAATTTCAAATGAGTTCATGAAAACACATTTAATAATTTTTTTTTTTTTTTAAACACATAATTACATTATAATCTAAAATTTCTAAATAATCATATTCATATATAATGAAAATTTTAAATTATAATTTATTTTAACTCATACTCTGTGTTAAATATTATAATTTAATTGCATTAACACTCAAATATTTAAGAATATTTAAAAAAAAAGCACTCAAAATAATATTTTGCACTCATTTTATTCATTTTCGTCTTACCGTTGTCACTTTTCTTTTTTATTTTGTTTTATTGATGTGCTTATCATTTTTATATTATATTTTTTTTTTTGGTTACTTCTTTTGTTATGTCACATGAGTTAGAAACAGTATGCATTGAAAGAAGTTTTTATGGTGTTGGAAATTGGTGCATTTTCTTACAGAATTTCTACAATCACAAAACATTCATATAAAATCAATCGATAAAAACCATAATTACTTTATTTTCATCATTTTAATATCACATTTTTATTAATTGTACCTTTAATTTTTTCATTACTGAACTTATTTGTTTTAAAATCAAAATTAATTATTTTTTTTTCTTTTATATTTCTAATATTTCTAATTCTATTATTTACTTTTATTTTTTTTTTTCTTTTGCAAAATTGCCTATAACTACTTCAACTACTACTACTATATCACTATTATTTTCGATACTATTACTGCAATTGCATTTAACTTTGAAAAAAAAAACAAATTTAATTAAATTACATAAAACCATGTTCAACAATTACCAATCAATCACATTAAACATTTTGATTCGCCTTCGCACATCATTTTTAAATACAAACAACAAAATATGAAACATTATAAAATTTATGTTTTTGAAAAATTAATTCGTACAATTGTAAAATTTAAAATAAAAAATTAAAAAACCAATCTAAATTGAAAACAAATTTATAAACAAAACAACAACAATCATTACTGCATTAAAATGCACTCGAAATGCACAATATATTTATAAAATAATATTATACATATGTATATGTTTATTCAAATACAATATATTAAAATGTTAATTTATATTATTTTGTAATTATAAATATATTTTATTAAATTTGATATTAAATTTCAACTTTAAAATTAAAATAAAATAAAAAATTATAAATAAAACAATGATACAAAATACAAAACTTAAACAAATTAAAAATAAAATAACAAACAAATTGCAGAGCCAACAGCGTTACCAATATCTGAAAGGTTTAAAATTTTCTCTAATATGTCCCAACAACAAAAATCATATAATCAACATAATTCATCATCATCTTTTAGTTCAAATCATTCAAGTCCAACACGATTTTCAAGTTTAACAAATTTTGTTGATCCAATAGTAAAACGAAATATTGAAAATGAAAATTCTCCAGCTGAAGGAAAAAATTTACAATCCAATAAAAGAATTAAAAAAGATGTTGGTAGATTATCAATTCCGAAATTTTTCAGTGATAACAATAATAATAACACATTTAATAACAAGAAAAATAATGAAGAAAATTGTAGCAGCAATAAAATCACAACTGTAACAACACCAATAACGGCAACACCAAAAACAAAAACAGAAAACATTGATATATCTAGTTTAGCACCAACACGAACAATTGGTAAAATAAAATCACGATTTATTTCATTGGAAAACAATAGAGAATCAAATAATCAAATTAAAATTTTAAATAATCATGATAATAAAATGGATACAATAAATAATAAAACTAAATCAATTAAAACTCAAAATCATTTAGATTCTACAAACACTAAAATTAATAATAAAATACATTTCGAAAATGATGAAGATGAAATTGAAAATCTTAATTCCGATTCTGGTAAAGAAAATAATTGTAATGATACAAATACAGATGACATCAGTAATAATCCAGTTCATATAGCTGAATTACGTAAGAAATTTGCAAAAGTTGTTACAAAAACTAAACAAGTTAATAAAGCTGTTGTTAATATGAAATATTTTGGTGTTTCAAATACAAATAATATGAGTATAAATAAAAATAATTTGAATAAATTTGAAAATGGTAATACAAAATATTTAACAGCAACATCAAAATATTCTAA